GGAGAGCTCAACCTTCTTCTCCGTGGTCCTCCTCTTCGGCCCCATCGCCGACGACGAAGCTCTCGAGTGGTATTCTCGGGCAGGCGAGTGCGCGCGTCAACTCAGCGCGCCAAGCTTGAGCCACAACAATGCTACGGGCATGTTATCAATGGGTGCTGACTGCCAGTATCAATCGTGTGAGTGGTGAATCCCAGAACGAGGGCCTGCTGGCGACCCCCAGGAGCACCGCAACATACTCTACCAGTGCCAACTCCAAATAGTGAGCGCACCCGAGCAATCGATCAAAGCACCGAACATCCGACAAACCCACAAGTCAAAAGTCAAACGTCAAAATTTTGATTTTGATCTCTTTGACCTGTTTTTTTTTTTTTACAAGTCAAAATGATCAAAATAAAAATTTTGACTTTTTGACTTTGACTTGATGTTGACTAGCCTCGGGCCGCAATCAAACGCGCCCTTCCCTTCTCACATTGTCGCGAGATCGACGGCCTGACAAGCGGGGGAGAAAGAGCTGGTGGAGGATGATTGGACTAGGAACATTGTTTTTTTCATCCATCGACCTTGGGGGATACAAAACGCGGGCCTGAATTTTCCAGACCCGCGGGTCTGATTTTTTTCAGACCCGTGCGTTGCCATGCAGGTTGGGTTTGGATTTGCTCGCGGGGGTTGAGGCAGTTTGGGTTTCAGGAGCGTGCAGGTGTTTGTGTTTTGGGCGGCAATTACATTTCCCAAATCCAGATGTTTTAGCCTGAGGCTTGGCTTGAAGGCTTGCGGGGGATGAGGCGGGTTGGGTTTTCGGTTGTTGGCGGGAGTTGAGGTAGCTTGGGTTTCAAGAGTTTGCAGAGGTTTAGGTAGGGAGGTCGCTCCTCTGGGGTGGCTAGTCGTTGTCGCTCTGGGGGTCGCTCTTCTGGGGCGGCTATTCGCGGTCGCCCCCGCGGGACGGAGGAGGGGGATGGGGGAGGAGGAGGGGGAGGAGGAGGAGGAGGAGGAGGAGGAGGAGGATGTTTGCCCAGTCGAGCGTCGGGCCTAAGCCCTGGGAGCCGCGCGCGCCGACTCGCCCCCATCGGCACCGAGGCTGTAGTCGCAAATCAGGGGCAGCACACCTACTCAATGCAGAAATGCGCGGCCCAGATCTCGAGAGCTTCCAATGCCTTCTGCCGCGCGGACTTCACAGCGTCCTCTTTTGGGACGCCTCGGCCTAGCATGTACTGCCGCTCGTTGTGGTACGCCTTGCTGTGAACCTGCTTGCGCACGCGTGCCACATCTTTGCTGTCGGACGGGTCAACGTTGTACGTCTTGACCCATGGATACTGACCGAACTTCATGCGTTTTTTTTGTTAGTGTTGTCATGGCCCGAACGTTCCTCGTTGTGTTCCTCGTCCTTGACCCCCTTGCCCTTGGCCCGCTTGGCCTCGCCCTTTGCCCGCTTGGCCTTGCCCTTGGCCATCTCCTTGGCATTGGCGCCCTTGCCCTTGCTTGTCTTGTCCTTCCCGCCCTTGCCCTTCCCAACCTTGCTCTTGCCGCCCTCGCCCGTGCCGCCCTTGCCCCCGTCGCCCCCCTTGGCCGAAGGATCCCTTGTTTTCTTCATCAGGCGACGTTTGGCAAACTTTTTGGCGAAGTCTCCAGGAGCGACGACCCCCCCAGCATCTTCGCAGCTGGCTGCCCGTACCATGGAGTCGACGACGCCGTATTCGATGGGGCCCTTCAGCGGGATGGCAGGGGCGCCGCGATCCGCGCCCTTCTCGGACTCCTATCGCGGCAGGGCTAGGCAAACCACCCCATGCATTTTTCAGAGGACTAGCATCAGCAGCGCCATTTTTTCAGAGTACCTCATGGTACTCTGAAAAACAAAATGGCAGTAGACTTACTGGCGCGTCGGGAGCGACCTCCTCGCCCACGACCTCTTGACTAGGGGTGGCCTCCAGCGGTGTCGGAGGTGCGGGCCAGCCGGGCTTTACATCGAGCTCTACGGCCGACAAGTTAACGGTTTCGGACATGTTAGAGCAAGCCGCCCTAATTTTGTGATCTCAATTTTAAGGCGGGCGTTTTTTGCAGAGGTGGTTCTGGGCCGGCTTATTCTAACACGGAGGAGCTATCAACTTACTGGCGCCCGTCAACATCTCAATAATACCATTAGCGTGAGGATTGGCTGTAGACTCGGCAATCGTATAAGTAACGTTGTGAGTTGTAATCGCTGTAGTGATATACGTAATCGTATCGTAGTATTCGCATTCGTATTATCATTCGTAGTTGCACTGGCATCAACATCGATAACAACAATTGTTTTGATGTTATAAGTGCTTGTAGTAGTACCAACATTGGCATTGACATTCGTAGTGGAGCTAGTAATCTGCATCGGCAGCCACAGGTAATTGCTACAGGTATACCTGGACCTAAGAGTACAGACCTCAGATCTCTAGCTCGCCGCCAGGCGCCGCTGGCCTCTCCTCCCCCCCACCCTCGTCCACCCTCTCTCCCTCACCACCCTCTCCTGCTCCTCCTCGCCCCCCGCTCTCTCCCCCTCCTGCTGATGTTGCTGCTTCTCATCCTGCCCCTCTCCTCGTCCCCTCATCCCCCCCCTCCTCCTCATGCTCCTCCTCCTCCTCCTCCTCCTTATCCTCCTCCTCTTCATCCTTGAACGTTTGCCCCCTCGCGAATATAGCTGGGGGCAACACGGGAAGTGGCGAGCGACGCAGCTGGGGGCATGGCGGGAACAGTGTGAGCACTCGCCCCGCATGGGGCGTCCACCCCTCAAAATCCTTCACCCTCAAGACGTCCCAGAGGCCGAAGACGACCTGGTGCGAAGAAGGCGAAGTTGTGGCTGAACACGATCTCTGTGGAGTGGCCAACGCTTCCTCGGCCTCGCTCTCGTCGTAGTCGTCCTCCTCCTCCTCCTCGCCCTCGCCCTCGGAAACTGCGGGGGAGCCCTCGTTCCAAGAGGTAGGCGGTGGGCTGTCCATGACCATCTTGTCGCTCAGGACCTGGAGGCACGCGCGCGCCGCTGGGAACGATGAGTTGGGGCTCCTCTTCTTGGCAAGGATGCTCCTGAGCATAACCCTCAGGCCGAATGTCGACATCTCGATCTCCGTTATCATCCACTCGATGCTTTGCTGCTTCAACCAACTCTGCAATTGCTTCGTGAGGGTGGTCTGTTTGGGAATTCTGCCCCCCGTATGATCTAACATGTCGGAAAGCAAACTCACGCAATCTTTGGTTGCGTTCCACTGGCTTGCAGATCCAGCCTTAGAAGTTTTCACGACGAACAATGACCGCGGTTTGCATTTAGCAACAGGGATGTGTTTTGAAAACAAATCTGCAGCAACATCGTCCTTGAGGTCTGCCCCTAAAGTTCGCACGATGTGTGCGCAGGCCGGCCAGGGAAGCACCTTGAGCCCTAAACCGCAGACAGTGGAGCTGATGATATTGATGTCGTAGGTGATTGACGCCTGTATACTGGACTTTTTGATGAGGGCATGGTCAGAAAAATACTCTAGATGATGGGGACGCCGACTTCTGCTATGATGAGTTCCATCACTCCCGCTGCAACACGGCCTAAAGACATTGACTTCTGCCCTCGGCGATCTGTGAGTTTCGTCCCGACGTCAATGGTAACGATATCGCCTCATCCTCCTCCTCCTTCTCCTCTTCCTCCTCCTCCTCGTCCTCCTCCACCTCCTGTATCTGCTGAGGGTGCTGATGATGATGACGATGACGATGACGATGGTGATGACGATGATGCTGATGATGATGATGATAATGATGATGATGATCAGCAGTCGGCTGATAATGATGATGATGATGATGCTGGTGATGATGATGACGATGATGAATGACTTTCTCAGGTCTTTTCCTGCGGTCGCAACCCTCGCAAACAATTCATGGGGCCAAACCACGACTTGGATATTAAGCTGACTTATGGCGCTTGCTGCTGCTAGACGCACCCTTGCTGCTGCTAGACTCACCCTCCTTTTCCGTGAAAGGAGCAACTTCTTTTTTTCAGTATTGCCCATTGTTTCCTCAGATTCTGCAGCTGCTCGGCGATGCTGTTGAGGGTGCAAATGTCGAACTGCTTGCCCAAGGGCGAAGCGCGCGACTCCAGAAGGACGACATCAGTGACCAGCGCACTCACGTCAGATTTCAACTGCTCGACGAAGCGATGGTCGAGCAAGATCGCCACCCAGCTCGCCGCGACAGTTTTCATATTCTGCATTTCCTGACGCGAGCAAGAATATGGAAATGACGAAGGTCTTCCAGAGCACAAAGACTGAGATGAGGCAGAGGAAGGAGGAGGTGAGGCTGAGGGGGAGAGGGAGGGAGGGGAGAGGGGAGGGGGAAACAGGATGGGAGGATCACCAACTGCAGGAGGAGCGGGAGAAGACTGGGAGAGGGAGGATGACGAGGAGGGGGACCGAAGATCCTCGTCTTCCAACTCTTCCTCCACCTTTCAAAACACATGAATTCGGATAGTCCTCGATATGCTGGTTCATCTGCTCAGCCTCCGTGTCCGAAGTCTCTGCGTCTGAAACGAAGACAGTCTCATCGCGTGCTGGTTCTGGCCTGCTCGATGCCGCGCGCCCTCCAACGACTGAACCATCATCGCCGAGAGGATACGCAGATCCGTTCAAAGCTTGGAAAGACCTGTCCGTGCTTTGATCTCCGCTCCACATGAGTGTACCACTCAATGGAAGTGATATGTCTGCTGAACGTGATAGCTAGTAAATCTAGCGCCAAAACGGCTACGCTGATGATGTTGCGTTGATTGCGATGATGACACCGATGGTTGTTGTAATGATACTGGCGATGATGACAATGGCTTGATTTGTGATCTGGAATGTTGTATGAGACCCCATGCGAACCAAACGCAATCGGGACACCACCCACGTAAGGCACATCCCACGCTAAGCAATCGTACAACCTACAGATGCGTTCTACGCATGTGCATTTACCTATGTACTAATGTATATTATACACATGCCTATATTTTTAAACACGTTTGAGGGTCAGGGTTCCTCGTCCTGGTCGCAGTCGGCCATCGTGGTCCGGACGTCGCCGACCTTCCGCTTCATGTCCGCCAGCTCCGAGCCAGAGCCCCCGTCGGCAAGGTCGCCGGAGGCGGCCGCGAACTGCTTGGCCACATCCAACATCTTGGAACTGCCTAGCCCAGCCAGCTCAGATGCCTCGCCGAGCCGCGCATTCTCCAAGCGATTCAGCGCCTTCTTCTGGTCCTCCTCGGTCGCGTTGGCGACCTGCTTGTCGAGGAACGATGCGGCCTCCAGTTCGCGTTTAGCCAGGCGGTCCACGAGCAAGTCCTTGACTTTGATCGCCACCCTGAGGGCGCCTACAAATCCAAGGCCCCACTCCCCCCATCCGCCCTCCCCCCCCCCCCCCCCCCCCCCATCCGCTCTCCCCTGACACCAAGTCCCAAGTCTAACTTGGCAGTTGAGGGAGGGCAGAGAGGGGGGGTGGAGGGTAGTGGAGGGTGGGTCAAGGGTCAAGGAATTGGGATGAGAAGAAAGCGCCCAGGCCCGAGGGCACCCACAATAATCCCGATATTACCCTCTTTTCCTCCTGACCCTTCTCCTGCTTCCTGCTCTCCAGCTCCCTGCTCTCTGCTCTCCCTCCTCCCCTTCCTCCTCCTGCTCCTCCCCCCCCCCCCCATCCTCCTCCTCCTCCTCTTCCAGGGCCCGGGAGCCTCTGCGCATACTTCGGGTTCTCGCCGAGCAGGTCGGTGACCGCGCCAGGCTTGTCGTACCTCTCCCTCCACTTGGCGCTAGCCTCCGCGGGGCCGAGCCCGCCGTTCTTGGGCTTGCCGGCCCAGTGCTGGAAGGCGATCTCCGACACCATCTCATAGACCCCGTCTTTGATGATAGACTTCTCCATCTGCAGCTCCTTGCGGTACTGCATCAAGGGAAAGGTGCCGCGCGGCCCGTTCGTAATTTCTGTGCTCGGTGGGCAGCGCAAGTTGTACTGCGCGATGAGCTTGAGGCGGTTATCCGGGTCCGCGACGTACTCGTTGAACCGCGTGACATCCTCCTCGCTGCTAAACCTCAATGTCATGTTGCGGAGGTTGTTCAAGGGCAGCCGGCAATCCTCGCAATCGCTGCATTGGGAAACGAAGGAAGTCTTTGGCTTTGCCTCTGCACACGTCCGGCAGACGCGCTCGTTCTCCCCAGGCTTAACGGCCTTGGCCTTGCCGTTCGCCTTCGAGTACTTAGCCCGCTTCTTCGGCTGCACCGTTGCGGCCTTGCCCTCCTCGGGCGCCTCCTCGGGGTTTTTCTGGCCCTTGCCCTTCTTGCCCTTGCCCTTCTTACCCTTGCCCTTGCCCTTGTCGCCGCCGCCGTTGGCGGTGCCACCCGTGCTGGCGGCGGCCTGCCCGTCCACCTCGAACTCCTCCATCAGCTCGTCCTGCTCTGGGATGACTCCCATGGTCGCCGGTCGCTGACCCACGGACCACGGACTTGGCGATGGCCCCTGAGAGGCCGCACTGGTGGAGTGCCGCTGGGCACTCGCATGCTTTGCGCCACAAAGTGCTGCGTGCTGCGGGGCAGCAGGCAGGGCCAGGCAGGGGCATGGCAGTGGCCAGTGGCCAGTGGCCAGGTGTCCGCGTCCTCCTCCTCTCCTCTCTCCTCTCCTCTCTCCTCTCCCCTGCTCTCCCCTCGCCCCAACCCTGCACCCTGCCCCCTGCCCCCTGCCCCTCTCCAAAATCGGTGGCCCCGCGCGCAACCTATGGCCTATGGCACAACGAACAGGCAACAGGCAATGCTTCGTTGCCCCCTGGTAGGTTGGTAGGTTAGGGCATGCGGCATGCGGCATGCGGAGAGCGCTACAGATGTTTCGGGGGGGGGGGTACGACGTGAGAAGAGGAAAGAGGATGCAGGGGGCAGGGGGCAGGGGGGCAGGGGCGAGGGGTGAGAGCGTGAGAGCAACAACATAGGATTGACATCGGCTCTGCTGCTCGCTGCTCGCTGCTCTTACACGTGCCTGTGCCTGGTGCCTGGTGCCTGGTCTCTTGCGCTGTACTCTTTCCTTCGCCCTTTGCCCCCATGCAACACTGCGCAGCCCCCTGCAACGCCGCGGGCCCGAGCGAGCAACCTATGTCGCAACAATGGCCGCCACCGCCGCCGACGACAGTCGACGACGACGACAGACGACAGACGACGACGACGAAGACCGACGACGACGACGACGGACGACGGACGACGACTCGACGACGACGACGGACGACGACGACTGGATTATCTCAATACTCGAACCTCGAATCAGATACGAGACAGAGGAATAAGCCACTGGCCACTGGAGGATAAACAGGAGGAGAAGGGCGAGGGGCGAGGGGCGAGGACGTCGGACGTCGGACGAAGGGGAGAAAACGTTATCACGTTATTCGTAGCCATTTTCGGCTTACAGTTTGCAGATCCTCCGTCCTCCGAGGATCCGAGGAGCGACGAGGAAACTCCTCGCGCCCTCGCGCGGCCGCGCGGCGCCGCGCGCTCCGCACTGCGATGTCCCAGCAGTCCCGGCGGGCTCCGCGCACTCCGCCGCTGAAGAAGCGCTTCTTCGCGCCCGCGCCATATGTGCCCAGTTCGTCGGACGACGACGAGGCGGCGGCCGGCGCCGGCAGCACATCGAGGACGGCGGCGGTGAAGTACCTCAAGGCGAAGGCGAAGCAGCGGCCTTGGCGGCCCGAGCCCGAGGCGCTTCCGAAGGTCAGAGGACAGAGAACTATGCACATACACCGATTCTTGCCAGGCCCATCCTGAGTCCAGAGTCCAGGATCGGTGCATACGCCATACGCCATACGCCATACGCCCTCCGCCCTCCTGCCTTGGCCAGGAAAGCATATGCACCGATCCTGGGCCCAGGAACCCAGGAACCAGGAAGGGCCTGGCCAGAATCGGGATTCGGTGTATGTGCATAGTTCTGTTCGCAGGCGCCTGCATCACCGCCGGCGCCGCAGGCGCAGGCGCCCTTGCAAGGTGGTGGCGTGCCTGGTGGCGTGCCCGTTCCCGTGGTGGCGTACCCGTTCCCGAGGGTGGTGGCGTGCCCGTTCCCGCAGTTCCAGCAGGCCGGCCTGCGCTACCCGCCGCGCTGGCAGCCCGCCCCGAAGGTGGCACCGCCGCCGCGGCGGCGAAGTTCGGCGGCGGCGAGCTCGGCGAGCGCGGCTCTGAGTGCGTCGACGCCGGCGCCGGCGCCGGTGCGGCTGGCGGTCAAGTCAGCGGTGGTGGCGAAGAAGGCCCTCAAGATGTCCGCGCCGTCGGGGCACCAGCCGCAGCCGCGGCCGCCGCCGCCGAAGAGGATGAGGCCGCCGCCGATGAGGCCGCCGCCGAGGGCCGCCGCCGAAGAGGAGGCTCCGCCGCTGCCCAAGGAGGCTCCTGAGCCAGCTCGGTTCGTGCCCAAGGTGTTGCACAATCCGCATGAGGAGGACTTCCCGGAGTCGTGCTTTGAGGACCTCATTGCGGAGCGCTGGCTCTGGGCGCGCGATCGCCGCAACCAGATGGTCTGGTCCCAGGGGCGCAAGCACTTCAACAGCGCCAACTACTTGGTCTTGGGCCTGGGCCGGGAACGCAGGCGCGCCACAGAGGAGGAGGCGGACGTGGCCATCATCGAGGAGGAGGAGGCGAAGGCGGAGGCCACCACAGAGGAGGAGGCGGACGTGGCGACCATGGAGGAGGCGGACGAGGCGAACGACGGCGGCTTCTTGGCGCAGAAGGAGGAGGGTGACGAGATCAAGGGCGAGGACGCGGTGAAGAAGGAGTTGAACCTCCAGGAGTTGAGAAAGAGGGTGAGGAGGACCAAGCTCACTGATGACAAGGTCAAGATGGCCCAGCCGGTGCCTTGACATCCGCGCCTAGCGCCTAGCCCGCGCCCCGCGCCTCGCGGCGCGCGGCGCCCCGCCGACCGCCGACCGCCGACGACGACGGTGGACGGCGGGCGACATGCGACAGACGACAGACGACAGACGACAGACGACGACGCCGACGCCGACGCCGACGACCGACGACCGACGACGACGACGACGACGACGACGACGACGAACGACGACGACGACGACGACGACGACGACGACGAACGACGACGCCCGTAGAAATCGTGGGAACGCGTAGTTAGGTGCTGCGGCAGTGCTGCGCGCTACACGCTGCCCGCCTGCCCGCCGCCCGCCGCCCGCCGCCCTCCGCCCAGCGCCCAGAACCCAGCGCAGCACCGGGAACTAGGGGCGCGAGGCGGCTCAATCGCCCAAAATGGCCAAGCAGGGTCTCGGCGGACGGCGGAAGCCAGCTCGTGGCTGCGGAGGGGAAAGGGGGGGGGAAGGGGAAGGGGAGGAGGGGGGAAGGGGAGGGGAGGGGGAGGGGGGGAGGGGGGGGAGGGAGAGAGGGAGGGGGAGGGGAAGGGAGGGAAGAGGGGGAGGTGGGAGGGGGGAGGGGGGAGGGGGGAGGAAGAAGTGAAGAGTAAGAGTTCGACGCAATTGCGGAAGCTGGCAAAGAAGTGAAGCTACGATGATACGATGAGGTTTGGTGTCTAGTCTGGGGCTCCTCCTCCCTACTCCCTACTCCCTACTCCTAGTCCCTCCCTCCTACCCTTACTCCCTCTCCTACCCCCTACCCTACTCTCCCTACTCCCTACCCCCCTACCCCTACCCCTCCTCTCCCTCCCCATCCTCGCCTCACCTCCTCTTCCCATCATCGACTCATCGCCATCGCCCTCTTCATCTTCCATGATCCTCCTCATTCCCTCCCTCGCAGCGGACGGGGGCGGCCTCCGGCGCCGCTCGCCGCAGGCCGCAGGCCACCGGCCAGCGCCGCGCCAGCGCCGCGCCAGCGCCGCGCCAGCGCCAGCGGCCGGCGCCGCGCCTGCCGCAGGCCCCGGCCCCCGCCCCCCGCCCCCCGCTGGCGCCGCCGGCCGGGGGGCAGTAGGGGCACGGATGGGAGAGGGAGTAGGGAGTAGGGAGGGGGAGTAGGGAGTAGGGAGGGGGAGGAGGGGAGTAGGGAGTTGGGAGGGGGAGTAGGGAGGGGGGGTAGGGAGTACTGAGATGAACGGCGGGTTAAATCTTAGATATAAGTTGAGGACGCCTGTTAGTAACTAAGTTATAACTAAGTTATAACTAAGTTATAATTAAGTTATAACTAAGTTATAAATTGGCGCGTTGAATAGTGACTGACAGCGTCTGAGTTATAAGTCAACCTCTAATGCCTTATTAGAGCTCGTTGAGTTAGTAAAAGTCAGCATACCTAGGAGGTTGAATTATAAGTCGGGTTATAACCCAGTTAGGTGACTTATACTTAACTCAATTAGCCCTGCACTCTTCGACTTAGTAATTGAGTTGTAATCAAGTTATAAGTCGACTTAGCTAAGTCGACCTAACTCGACTTACTAAGTCGACTTAAGTCGAGTTAGCTAAGTCGAACGCTCGAGTTACTAAGCCGACGTAGTTCGACTTACTAAGTCGAACTATGTCGACTTATAAGTCGACGAGTTCAACATATGTTGAAGCGTTTAACAACGATTCTTAACATGATTAACAACGGTTTTGAACATGTGTGCGGCACCTGTTCATCCACAACACCAACAAATGTGTTGAGAACTTGTGATCCAGATTTTGTCTCGGTAACAAAAAAGCGTTGGTTATGTATCCTCCGACAACAACATAATTTTGAACTAATGGTGCTCTGGCTTGTTTCTGGTAACATGTACGTTAACAGTCAAGACCATAGAACTCTTATCAAAATGCAGGACGGCTCGATTCGTAATTTTATTTTGCGGTGGAAAACGGAGCAGTCAATACCATAGATCTCGAATCAGAATGCAAGACGGGCCGATGCGTAAGTTTGTTTTGTGGTGGGAAACACAGGTGGCGTCGGCGTGTGTGCGATGTGTGAAATGTAAAAAATTTATGTTGTCACCGCTATGTACTCATATGTGGTGATGTCGCAAGCACATCGGCGCTATGTGACCATATATAATGCTATGGAAAATGCCGCGCGCACATATGTGGTATACGTGCACTGTCCACAGAATGGTTCGCACGTAATTTCCGGCGTATCCCCGATTCGTTCATCGCGAATTAAGCTGACTAGATTGAGTGGACTGAACTGGTCGCACCTGATAGGAGGACGTTTTGATATTAATTTCCGGCGACCCAGGGCGCAACCTGTGGCGCCACCAATCGGAGGTAGCGTTATTCTCGCCGGCCGAGGGCGCAACCTATGGCGCAAACTATGGCGCCACCAATAGGAGGACATTTTAGTCTCGACGGCCGAAGGCGCAACCTACGGCGCAACCAATAAGAGGTCGTTCCATTCTCGGCGGCCGAGGGCGCAACCTATGGCGCAACCAACGGGAGGACGTTTTACTCTCGGCGGCCGAGGGCGCAACCAATAGGGAGACGTTTTATTCTCGGCGGCCGAGGGCGCAACCTACGGCGCAACCAATAA